TATAGCCGCCGACCGCCACGTTAGGGTTAGTGGGCTACCACCAACCATGGTCAACGGCAACAAACACTTGGCAATGTCAGCGAGGTCCGTGATGACTGGACATGTGTGGACCTAGGTCTGCCGCTATTGACTACAACACCCATCTACCCTAGCGCCATGGTAATTGATGACAGACAAAAGAGCCAGAGTGTAAAATACTTTAAAAAATTGATCATTTCGTACTAAACTCGTCATTAAGGATGGAAACAGTGACTTTGGCCCGATGACATTCCTGGTGAGAGCACATGGACAATGAGATAGAGGGAATCCACTACAACATTTCATGAAACAGTTGTCGTGCGCGCATGTACCATTGTGTGCGACGTAGCCCATCTACCCTTTTTTTCTATCATTACTGACGGGAGACAAAGGGTCAGATTGTAAAACACTTTTAAAATGGGTCATTTCATATATAACTCATGATTAACTTTTATTATTTCTGGTGTTCGCTGTAATGCCATGATTAAAGATGAATAGATTGGAAGTTTCTTGCAAAAAAATAAATAAACCCAGTGAGAGCGGTGATTATGCCACATATGAGAGGCTGAATCCGGCCTAGATGACATTCTTTTTCCTTGACGGGAGCCTAGATGGCATTCTTAGTGAGAGCAGAGTAACACTTAGAGAGAAGATCCACTGTTAGATTTAGTCAAGAGCTTTGCTTCATCTATGTAAAATAATTATAAAAACTAACGTAAAGTCAGAAAATTCTCGAAAAAACACAAGTTTATTTTCATATAGGTGTAAGATTTTTGTTCCGTCAAATAGCTGCCACACGAAAACAAGTGAAAAGAGGGTTCGCACTGGATTGCCTAAATGCCTAAAAAAGGGGGAGGCGTGTTGCGAGTTTCAAAGTCGCGACCTCTCACACCCAAAGCGAGAATCGTACCACTAGACCAAACACCCATCTGCTTTGTTTAACTTCTCCCCTTACAGCGAGGTAAGCAAACTTGGATCGACCCGTCCTCCCTTCCATAACCTTCTCTCTCCCCCTTTGAGATAAGCAAGGACTAACTAACGAGAATGAGAATCAGACTAACCTAATCCCTTTTTTCCCTTGGTCGCTGCTTCTCAAACTGGTTGCGCGGCCGAGCAAGATTGCCCTCGCCCCCCCTTCAGCATAGGATCCTCCGCTCTGGCTTAGATTGAAATGACACTGGTCATGAACTGCCCTTGACGGCTGGACCTTGGCGATACGCATCGGACGATGGAAAGTTAATGCCTTCTTTGGATTGGAGGATTTTCACAGGATTTTCATGGGATATCAATCCTCAGGATTGTTTCCTATGAAACGCATTTGGATCAAAGGATTGGGCCATTAAAATTCCTCAGGATTGGGTCTTCAAGGTGCTGATTCCAAAGGAATTTACACATGATGTCCGACCTTTGGAAAAAATCCACAGGATTGGCTATGTCATGGCAATCAAATCCTCTATTTTTCCTATTCCTTTGTTTTGCAAATCCTGTGATCCAAAGAAGCCCTAAACGAACTGGTCATGGGGAGGTCCTGTTTGGCGCCCTAAGCGCCCCTTAGACTAGTTGGCGCTCGCAGAAGACTTGTAGCGGGCCGGCCCACTACCTTCCTTTTAATCACGAGAACGTCAAAAGGAATAAAAGGTGAACATGATATTTCTGGGAACTCCTATGCGCCGCATTCTGCGGCAAATACATCGCCATCGCACACGGGTACGTCCGACTGGGCCGGGCCATTGGGTTGCGGCAAATTATTGACAAACCCAAACAATTTTCTGAAATGGCGAGTACATTTTGAAATTTCTGAACTTTTTTTTGTAAAGATGAACATTTCCGAATTTTTGAACAAAATTTCAAATGGGAACAATTTTTAAAATAACAAACAAATTTTGAATTTTTCGAACAAATTTAAAAATGGAGATTTTTTTGAAAATTCCAAATAAATTTAAATTCGAACAATTTTTTAATACATGAAATGTTTTTTGAAAGTAAGAACATTTTTAGAAATTTGCGAACAATTTCTAGAAACAGGAACATTTTTTGAAATCCCTGTCATTATTTACAAATTTCTGAAAAATGAACAAAAATAGTTTGAACATTTTTTTAAAAATGGAACATCTTCCGAAATTCCCGAATTATTTTCTAAAAATGTGAACATTTTTCAAATTTATGAACAATTTGCGAAAACACGACGGTTTAGCACGAACAATTTTTTAGACATGAACCTTTTCAAAAAAGAAATTAAACCTTAAAAATAAACAATAAACCAAAAAGGAAAAAAGAAACAGAAAAGCAAAAGAAAAGAAACAAGAAAGAAGAAAAATCAACAGAAAACGAAAAATATAAACCTAAAAAACAGGAAAACCGGGGCAGGGAAACTTCTAGAAAGTTCCCAAAACCAAACAAAACCGGTTCGGAATCTCTAGAAGGTTCCATCGTAACGCTCGGTCGCTGTTTGACGCAGAGAGCGTCAAATAGGATATTCCGATATTTCTCACGCTTATTTGGGAGAACTAGGGTGGTTCGAACCACGTAGAGGAAGATGCATAGGCCTAGGCAGTAACCACTAGGACGTGCTAATTTAGTTGTCCAGTATAACGAAACATTACTATTTGACCCTTTCTTTTAGTTATTAACATATTTAACCTTTCTTTCTGTGAGTAACATATACTCCCTCCGTTCCTAAATGTATGTCTTTTTAGAGATTACACTATGGGCTACATACGGAGCAAAATGAATGAATCCACGCTCTAAAATATGTCTATATACATCCGTATGTAGTTTGTAGTGGAATCTCTAAAAAGACTTACATTTAGGAACGGAGGGAGTACCATTGTATATCCAACGTAATTAGTATGAAAAAATCATAAAACTTGGAGTAAGCTAGTGAATTTCAAAAAAAAAGTTTACGAGCTAAAGAATCTTGCATTTGAAAAAAAATGATCGATTTTGAATAAAAGGTCACAAATTGAAATAGTTCATCAACTTGGAAGAAAACTTCAAAAAATTAAAATAGTTCATCGATTTTGAAAAAAAAGCTCATACATTTTGAAGAAAAGTTCACAAACTTGAAAAACAATTCAAATTTTGAAAACAGTTCATCGATTTTGGGAAAGAAGTTCATTGATTTTGAAGAACTTTCATCAAATTTAAAAAGAGTTCATCAAGTTTGGAAAAAACTTTGCAAAAAATTGAAAGAAGTTCATCAATTTTGCAAATAAGTTCATCGGTTTTGAAAGAGAATTTCACGAATTTGAAAAAAGTTCATCAATTTTGAGAAAAAAGTCACAAAATTCAAAAAAAAAATCATCAATTTGAAAAAAAAATCAAAGTTCAATAATAATTTTGTCGATTTCAATTTTTTTCATGTATTTTCAAGCAATTCGTCGAAGGTTGTCGTGCAAAAAGGAAAAACAGAATGAAAAATGAAAAGAGAGAATAAAAGAGAGGAAAGGTTGCACCTTATCAGAACCTGGCAGGTGGCGGGGCTCAATCATTTTTTTGCGTTCTAAAATCATAGAAAGAAACCTCAGGCAGCCCTACATGGGCAGGCCCAGCACACGGGCAGCGCTAAATAGGAAACACTGATCATGTCCCTTTGTGCTGGGCTACTTGTTG